TGGCTATTCTCTGACGTATTTCGAAGATCAAATCCTCTCCCTTTCATGAATTCTTCAACGTAAAAAAGAGAGAAAAAGACATATACCTTGAAGTGAGTCAGATCACTTCTAGCTTGTGATGTGGTTGGGTTGAATATTCTTAAGGTTCTAAATTTAAGTTAATCCATATGTAATTAGGAACGTTCTTAACTCGACAGCCCTGGTTAGCAAGAGATTGGCAGATAATGCTGGAAAAACATTACTCAGCACAGCACGAACAGCAATTGCATGAGACCTGGCTAAAAATCGCTTTCCAATGGGTTGTCTCCACAACTAATTGTGGTGATAGTGTGTTTTTCTATATTTAACTGCTGTGGACCCTGCCTCGTGTGCAGTGGGGGTGGTCTTTCTAGAGCCACATAGTTCCCTGAGTTGATGTCGGCAGCGCTTTCGACACTTCCTTGAGACTTCTACCTGGGCCATCATCCCGTTTGATCCCCCTGGACAAGAGGAGCTAAAGACTAGGGAAGACAGTTGTTGCTCTTGCATCCACGAATGACTCTCTTAGGGAACTAAATATTTTCTGTTTCAGAGACTTTCTGACCTTATGTTAATTTATTATGCCGGTTTTATTATCCAGCACTTGGTTCCCAGGGTGGGAAAACAAACCAACTAGAATTAACATTGACACTTTGAGATGGTCCATTTAAAATGAAAATAGCGAGAACTTTGTTCCATATGCTGGGTAATATCAGAATGCAGGGTGGTTTGGACTTAATGGATATGTGGATCTTTCTTTTCTTCTCCTCAGACACCATGGGCCTAATGCTCTCTATTCACCCTTAGGTCTTTCTTCATTTGGGGTAATCATCATGGAGGGAAGGAAGGCAGTAATTAACAGTAAGTCATAGCCCATGGCTTATGGTAACTGTAGATACTCAGCTGCGTAATTACCCCCTTTATCACTTAAAATGTTTCCTTTTGTCTTAAAATGAGTATGAACATACAGAGATGTTGTTTCATCCATGAAATACCAAAGATTAATGATGAGTAATTATTTCACAATAGAAAATAATCGAATGTCCAGGATGGAATATCTCCTACTCCAGCCTTACGAGCCAGTGTAAAAAGTGAGCTGTGAGAGTAACAGCCTCTGGTGTGAACCACCCTGAGCAGAGGACCCGGTCAGCAAGGTAAGCATGGGCTCATTTGTGCTTACTCACTCATCTGTAGTGAACATGCTTCTCACTACAAAAGATGTGTAACCGTTTGCTACAGAAGATAAAAAAGCACAAATAAGCCCATGCTTACCTTTCGGCCTGGGTCCTCTGACCCTGTCAGGGACTGTGAATTTGAAAAGAGACTTTGCTTGCTTGTATAGAGTGGTGCTGTCGGGTTGGGCGAGAGACTGATTCCAACCAGATGGAAAAGGAGAAGCTTGGCTGTGGTGGGGGAAAACGGTGAAGTGGTTGAACACAGATTAGTAAGGAAGCACGAGTCAACCTGAGTTTCCTTTGCTGCCTGGGTAATCCCACCCTGTGAGCCACAGGCAGATCTTCTGGGGAGCCGGTGCCGCCGCCAAGGTCTGCAACTACCAAAAGTCTGTTAATTAAGCTCAGGCATCACCTAGCATGCGTTCTTGTTCCCGTTTCCTAGACTCCTTTTAGGCGGTGGGACATTGTGTGTGTCCTGAGGGGAACCTGGAGGGAGGAAACCGCCCCAAGGCCTGCCTACCAGTCCGTCAGTGTTCCAGGCTAGAGTGCTTGTTCTGGTTTTCTTCTTCTTTTCAGAAAACCAATCGGGATTTTTCCCAAAGTGCCATCAAAATGAAACAAGTGAGGATGAAAGGGACAAATGTGACTTTTCTCTTTCTCCCTGGCCGCCCTGCACCACTGACGGCTGCACCACCAGATCAGAATGAACAATTAACTGCCTAATTATTCTAGTCACACCAGCCCACAATGAAATCTTTATTCCGTGTTTACAGCCAGCGTTGGCAGAGGGTCTGGCTGTTTCTAAACTCAGAAGAACTGCCCTTTGGCTCCTTTCGGCCTCAGCTGCCTTGGTTTCGGCGCTGGATGCCAATAATCAGGCTTCTTTTTCTTCCAGAGTGGACATTTTTTTTTAGGGTGAAAAGACCTATTCTCATCACTCCCCCATATATTCTGGCTGATTTATGTTCCCGTTTCTACAGTCCTTCCTTCCGTCTCGCTTTACATTTCCCTGGCCTCCCCAGAACACCACCAGGCAAACCCCCGTGTCAGTCAGCCCAGCACTACACAATGCCTAGCCACACAGCGCTCCCTGATCTGAGCTCAGGGCAGAGGAAGACAGCCACTGCGCACGCGGCCTGGGAAGTCAAGGAAATCCCACCCGCTTTTCCCAGAAGGGCTCATTTTCTAGCTCAGAAAGGCTTTCCGTTCACTGCCCCACTAGGGGAAAACATCCCCACTTTTCAATGGCTCTCTTGATGGCTTCCAACTCTTTACTGAAGTTCACCAGCAGCTGCAGGTCTTGGAGAATCTTCAGAACTGGGGGGATATTTGCAAATATGGAAGGAGTTGGGTGGGTACATCTGTGTCCCCTGGACTGGGAGGGGGACGTCATGGAAGGGCCCAGCCAGGGCTAGAGAGACAGGAACACAGGGACCAGCACTTTGGTTAGCTCTCTTAGTTAGATCATTTCCTGGGGTGCCCTTCCTGAGTCTGAAGTGTTATCTGAAGCTGCTCAGTCACTTTTCCATGCCCAGCTCCGTGGTCTCTAAGGAGGGTGGCCCCCAGCTTCTCCGTCCAGTCTAAGAGCACTGTGAGGGTGACGATTCCCCTCACCCCTTTCGCCTTGCCACTCAGCCCCTAGCATTGAACTACTTTCTCACATTGCCTTTCTGGTGAGAACTGGGTCATAGAAATTTACAGGGGAGAAAGGTGGAGGGGGGTGTTTCAGTAGTATAAACACTGATTAAATTCCTGGGCAACTCTCCCCAAATGAAAGATAATTTTTTTCCTCCAAGTCTGCACGAGAATGTCAAGAAGGCTAAGTCATTTTTACGCTTGTGCTTTTTCATTTTAATTTTACACGGCCACATGGCGCACACGCTGGAAACGCCTCACCTGGACCCACAAACTTTTCGCCCAGCGGAAAAACCAGGCATTTTGTAGATGGTCTTTCTCCAAGGTTTTCCCAGCGTTTTGTGGAGACGAAATTAGATCATCTCCTGACAACTGTCCCATCAGGAAGTCATGCCCTCGCCCCCACTCAGGTGCGAATTTGCAAAGAAGGGAAATCAGAAATACTGGGAAGGAAGGTCAAAGGAAAGTCAGTTGCAAGAGCCTAAGCTGAGTCAGAGCGGGCCTTTCCTGTTTATACTCCTTCCCACTGCCCTCCATTTGTCTCCTTTCCCTTTCTCTCCCTTTGGCAGCAAGGGATCTGGGCCAGCTTGGCGTCTTGACCTCCTCTCCTGTGCTGAGCTTCCCTCCTTCCGACCCACTGTTCTCTCACAGTCCTCTTGCCTGTGTTTTGGGCAGCCAGCGGGCTGAGCCTGCTTCCAGGATGTCCCCAGGCCAAGCCAGGGGGAAGGGACTACAAGTGTTCTTCTACACCTGCCCCAGGGTTGGGAGCCTGACCACCCCAGCCACAGAACCCACACAGTGGGACTTGCCATGATCCTACTAATCTCTTAGACATACAGATCTCCCCAGAAGACAAATGCTTCACGGGCAGCGGCAGCGGGGACAGGGACAGAGTTCCAGAATAGCCATCCCTCTGTGGTCCAGGAGCCAGAGAAGGAAGAAAACCATAGGTGGGCAGCACTGCGTTGTCAGTCTGGAGCATCGGTGCAGACCCTCGAAGACAGCTGTGGCTACTTTGTGTTCTTATGGTTCTTGTGTGGCTCCCCAGTGGGCTCCCACATCCCCAAAGCTCTCAGGGGTAATTTTCTCTAGTGGGGAGACTCTTCAGAGACTGGAGGTGAACCATGGGGTATTTTATTTAGCGGGGTGGGGTTGGGGCAGCCTCTCCTTCCAGGAAGACCTATGGCAATCATAGGACCAATCCTTCCTAACATGCACGGCAACAACAAGAGAACAGTAATCATAAGGGCAACATCACAGTCCATTCCCAATCGACCATGCCTTCCACACCCCACTGCTCTGCTCTGCTCCCGGTCACTCCTAGGCACGCTCAGCAGGGACAACAGAGGCTCCTCGCCTTCACTTTGCTACCCTCTCATCCCCTGAGGGAGGCGGTTGGGCAGTCTGGGGCGCCAGATTCAGTCCAGACCCGTTTCTCTTGCTAAGGGCCAGGGAACGCCAAGACGGCAGTATGTCCTTCCCGAACCGAAACTTTTACCCGATCTGATACCCACCCCCGCCGCCCCCTAACTCCGGCCCTGTTCCCACCCCCACAGCAACTACAATAAGCAAAGCGCAAACAACCAGCGTGCAATTTCGACCATTAGGGCCCCGGAGGCAGGAAATCCGGGGAGTTGGCGATGTCCGGCAGGTGGCGGGGACTCCAGTCCCCAGTACATTCCTCTCCCACGGCTGCACTCAGGCGGGGGCCAGGCGGGAGTCAGTAGATGCGACCCCCGCCCGCAGGCGCCCGTGTCCCTGGGTCCCTTCCAGGATCGCAGCCCGGGCACCCTGCTCTCCTTGGCAGCCGGAGGGAGGCGCCACCACCCGCGGGACAAGCGAGAGGAAAACGGGCCAAGCGCCCGGTCCCCGTCCCACCCCCGGTGCGCGCAGCCTCCGCTTCCTGCCACGCGCCGCTCTTCTCCCAGGACAGCGCCCCCGGCCTGGGCGGACCTCTGCCCACAAAGTCGGAGAAGTCCAGCTCCGAGCGGCCCTTGTGCGGGGTACAGCCTGGAGGACCGCGCGATGCACCCGGGTGGTTCCCGAGAGTGCTGGCACCGTGCGCCCCAGCCAGGGACAGCGCCCGGCCCGCCGCCCCCCTACCACCCTCCACCCACCCAGTACTCGCCCCAGCCAGGGACAGCCGCGCAGCGTCTGAGCCCTGCGCCTTACCTGGCACGCTGGCGACTCTCTGGGGATGATCGATCCAGCCTCCTCCGGGCTGCGTCCGGTTCACATCACTGCCTCCAGCGTTGACTGCCCCGGCTGCCCCCGCCCCCCACCCCCGGCGCTCTCCGTCAAAAGTGTCACCGCTTGGGTCTTTCGTGAAGTCTTCGCTAGAGCTCCAGGAGTTGGGCTGCGCTGCCTGGCGCGCCCCCCTGTGCCGCTACCCCGGCCTGGCCAACAGCGGCTTCCTGCGCTTGGTCCGGCCCGGAGTAGAGCCGCCTGCACCGGTCACAGTCCCCCGAGCCCAGCCTGCCGACCGCGTCCCCTCCCTCGCGCTGTCCCTAGCTGGAGTGTCTGCAGCCTGCCTGCGCGGCGAGTCCTCATTCCCCTGCTCATGAATATTCGTACAGAGGCCAATGCCGGGGAAGTAAATTGAATTAGCCAATTGGTGCCCGGAATGTGTGCCCTTTGCTTCGGAGGAGCTGTCTGGAACCCCACCAGAGGAAACAATTAGCATCTGCTTGGCACCCTGTGGTTTAGACCAGCGAGGGGCAAAATGGGTTAATTCTTTAAATGCAGTTTAGATACCTCATTGAAATGTTTCCTCTCCTCCATTGGCTGAGAGAGTAAGGACATGCGAGGAGAAGAGAGCGGGAAGGGGTAGGTGGGAGGACTGGGAGGCGTATTTGCACCCAAACTCTCCACAAAGTTGAGGTGGCTTCATCTGCCTGCATTCATTAGGGATTCTGGAAGCAGAAGCTGAGAACCACGGGAAAGAGGGAAATGGAATCCGTAAGGAGATGAGAATCGAAGGGGTTTGACCTTGAGCAGACAAAAAAAGAGTCCAGCATTTTAGAAGCAGGGTGCTCCCAGAGGAGGGGGTGAATCCCACAAGTCACTTTTAGGGAAGTTCTCCAAATGTTCAGCTTTCCTTCCTTGGTCCTCAGGACACGACCATGGAGTTCAGAGGGGTCAGAAGGGTGGGAGCAGTTGGAACCTTAAAGGTCAATTTCAAAGGAGACCAAAACCACCCCCTGTGTAAACACACAACAATCTTGCAGCCAAGAGCAATTCTTCCAGTTCTGCCCCTCCAGAGTCTCAGTTCTGAGATCCAAGAAGTCAAGGGAAGGGGCAGGGCACTGCTCCCTCCCAGGGTGGAATGCCAGGTGCTTCACAAACCCCTGTGTGAACAGTGGGTGTCTAGGATCTTTGCCCAGGTCGGCAGCCACCTCTTTCTTTACCCCTTTCCAGTGCAGTCCCTTGGGATTGTCTCCCCGGCTGTGGCTTTTCTAAATAGCCAAAGTTACTACCATTGAATTGATATATTACCAAAAGATCCACTTGTATAAATGCTTCATTGTAGCTAAGTGATCTATGTGTATAATGGATAAGATCCTGTTTGTAAAGAACCCATAAGAATCCCACGTGTGACAGTAGAATCAGACATCTTCATCAAAGCCCTTGTGCCAGATCTTAAGAGGTTTCAGACAGACTTAAAATAAGGAAGTCAGTCACAGCATTCAGTTGACCCTTAAACAACATGGGTTTGAACTGTGTGGGCTCACTTACTTATATTCCGACAGGAGAGAGACTGGACTTTCTACTCCTGTAAACAGTTACAGTCTCAGAAACCTAGAAGGTCACTGTGAATCAGCGTCGACTTTGTCAGTGAATTTGATCTGGGTTGGTTTTATATATTTATACACACATACACACACCTCCTGGTGGAGTGCTGGCGACAAGTTGAGCTGCTAACCCCAAGGTCAGAAGTTTGAAACCACCAGCTGCTCCTCACAAGGCTTTCTACTCCCATAAGGAGTTACAGTCTCAGAAACCACAGTGTGCAGGATCATTGAGTCAGCGTTGACTCAATGGCCGTGAATTTATTTGTTTTCTTCATATGTGTGTGTGTACATATACACTATATGTGTATATGTGGCAGTTATATAATCTATAAACTTGAGGAAGGGGTGGAGTCTAGCCTGTCAATCAGGTCATAGCTAATGAGGCCTCTGTGTGGGCCTGGCCTTCTCCTGAAGATTCTGGGAACTCCTGTTTTCCTCCCTGGAGGTGGGACACACTCTCCCTGTGAGACATTCCTGTTGACAAGACACTTAGAGCTATGCTGATGGTGCCAGAGCCCTGGAGCTGGAGGAGCCATGTGGAGACCCATGTCAGCGCTGAGATGCTTCCACCACCACTGGATCCACAAGACTTTTTATCCATTGGCCTGTGATCTTCCTGCATTCTGTGTCATTGTATGTGCTGCGTGAGTCTGAAGAGGAGCTTATAGACTGGTATCAGACATATGGGCTATTATCGGACTTATGGACTTGATCTGGACTGGGCTGGGATGTTTAGTTATTATACAATTGCTCTTTGATATGATGTTCTCACGCATATGAGTGTCTCTGGGTTCGTTTCTCTAGTCAACCTGACTAACACAGTCTATGTGCCATTTGACACTAATCTCCTGAGAGCAATTAGTCCCTCTAGTATAGTAAGCATCATAGTAAAAGGTGATTTCTTTCTGATAGTTTTCATCACTGCACCACACGAGGTGTCACTAGTGGTGCTGGAAGTGCTCCCAAGAAGCAGAGATCAATCATGCCATCACAGAAAAAGCTGGTTGGAGTTGTAGATTGAGGTCTATAGCTGCTGTTGCCTGCAGTTTAAGGAGAAATGAATTCAACTTTAAGGACCGTTGTCAAAAAAGGAGAGCAGGACTCAAAACCTTGCACTTCTTCTAGAATCACTTTTAATCTGCTATTGAAAATGCAGCTTTTCTGTGGGTGCAGTACACAATACTTAGACAAAAGGCATGTGATGAATTGTTATATTATAGGTAGGGCTTCTGGTCAACAGTAGGTTAAGTCTGGGGAGAGTCCAGTCAACGTCCCTAGCCCATGTATTATTCAAGAATCAACTGTAATTATTAACATCGGAGCAGCTAATGTTTATTGAGGACTTGCTACGTGATAGGCATCTTGTGGTACAAGACTGGTTAAGTGTTCGATGCTAACCACATGGTCAGCAGTTTGAAACTGCCAGCCTCTCAAAAATAGAAGGACAAGGCTTTCTATTCATGTATAGTTACAGTCTCAGAAACCTATCGGGGCAGTTCTACCCTGTCCTAGAAGGTTATGAATCAGAATTGACTGGATAGTAGTGAGATTTTCTTTATTAACAGGAGCCATGAGATGTTTTGTTTTGATTTTTATAGGACCCCTGGTGGCCTAGTGGCTAAGTGCTCAATTGCTAAAGAAAAGGTGGGTGGTTCAAACGTACGTGCTGCTCTGGAGGCAGAAAGATGTGCAGTCTTCTTCCATAAAGATTACACCGTTCGAGACGCTAGGAGGCAGCTCTACTCTGCCCTCGAGGGTGACAAGGCAATGTCAACCAGGTGGATGACAACGGTTTTCTTTCTTTCTTTCTTTTTGTTTTACTATTATTAACAAGATAGGGAACATTGCATTTTTTCTGATTTTTTTTTTGTAGGTGAGACAGCATTAGAGTTTTTTCAAGTGTTATATTTCTAATTTGGGTTAAAGTAGAAGTTTCAGATATTATAGGAAGAGAGCAATTTTACTATTACTCTTTTAGATGCAAATATGGTCAGAGTAAGTCTTTGAATTTTGCAGTTATCGACTCTATGAAATGCAAGGCATGCATCTCTTCAAATGCTTCTATTGAACAGAAGTCAAATCACTTACAACAGTTGAACATCTGTCATAGTTTATTCCCAGAAACTTTGGGTGACACTCCCTGGATTAAATACGGGTGATATTTCCTTATCATTATGCCTCTCTAACAATAAACCAAACCCCACTCACTGATGTCAAGTTGATTCTGATTCATTCCAGTAGCTATCGGGTTTCTGAGACGCTAAATTTCCACTGGGCGGGGGCTGGTGTACTTGAACCGCTGACCTTGCGGGTTTCAGTCTAATACCTAACCCACAGCACCACCAGAGCTTCTTTCCTTAATGATGGACTCTTCTTTTTAGGAGAAACTCTCTTTAGGATTTAGAAGCAACATTTTTATGGGAAGGTCCTCAGATGGTAGAGTGCTTACATGCTTTCAGATAGATAGATAGACAACTGCACTGAGGTAACCTAATGTACAAGAGAATGAAACATTGGTTGGTCCCGCATCATCTTCATGACCGGCTGTCATGCTTACCTGTATCATCATGGCTGTTGTAGTAATCCATATCCTCTAGCATCTCCCTCACCCTTGCTGGCTCTCTGCTTCATTGTGCTCCCTCCCAACGGTATGCCCAAAGGAGGGGAAGCAGGCGATGCAGCGCTCTGCTCCCTAAGGTTTGCAATGGCTAATTGTTGTAAGTAGATCACTAGGCCTTTCTTCCCAATCTGTCTTAGTCTGGAAGCTCTACTGAAAGGTGTCCACCATGGGCACCCCTGCTGGTATTGGAAATACTGGCGGCATCACATCCAGGACCACAGCAACCCAGATGTTACCACAATATGAGGAACTGACAAGGCAACATACCACAGTATGACACTGTTGGGGCTTGATGTTGGAGAGCATAAACTATGATCAGGGTGAGTGCTCTCCATAGTTGCTCAAGAGTCTCAATGGGAAGTGTGGTGGGAGGGCTGGACTGGGTGGAGGTAGTGAGCACTCATAGGCAAGCCATTCGTTCACTTCTAGGGTGACGCGGTTTAGCACCTCTCAAAACAGAAATAATACCCTATTCATGGGATGCTTCTCCAGTTCCAAATTGCTTTCCCATAAGCAAGCTCACCCATCCTCCTGGCAGTCCAAGCCGGCAGACCCAACATTGCTATTCGTATTTCATGGATAAAGCATCTCAGGCTCACTGGGCTTCAGTAGCACTCAGAGCTTCTCCAAGGAAGGGACTGGGCAAAAACTTTAATCCAGTCACGTTCCATGTGAGGCCTTCTTTGCCATCTTCTTCTGCCCCCCCCCCCACTCCTCTGCCTTTGGAGATAAAATTCCCTCCTTTGTACTCCCCTGGGGACTTCTAAGACACATAAAGAAATCTTTAGAACACGATGTGTTGTCTCACCACAAGCCACAAGCAGCCTGGAGTCAGTGTTGCATCCCTGAAATTCCACT